CGGTGGCTATAGCACCTTAGTTGCAGCAGATTGATTGCATGGAGCATGCCAATCACCGGTGTGTTGTGGCTGCACTGGCGCAACACCAGTGACCTCCTCCAGCAACAGAGCAAGTGTAGACGTAGCATTTAAATCTAAGCATTGAACCAACACAATCAATTTAATATCAGTGTGCAAGCCATCAATGAAATCCATTTTACCATATGAATCCTGCACCCAAAAGAGGGCCAAGCAGTGTGGCCACGTCGCCCGCTTTTCCCGGCCATCGGATCGGCCACGCGGACGGCCCAGATTGTGCTAGCCCCGGTCTTTTTTTAAAAAAAACCTCGAACTTTAGTCGAATCAACCCGCAGTCCAGGCATCATCTCATTTTGTTTTTCAAAAAAGCCCTCAAACTTTATCGAAATCAACCCTCAATCTAGACCTTTTAAATGGGCTAGCCTGCCTTCTATTCCAGGAGCTTCCTGATCCATCCAAACCCCAAGTCTGTCTATACCACTTCTCTCCCCTCAGTCGTCTCCCTCTGTCCCAGACCCTTCCCCTCCGCCGCTGCCGAGCCCGCGCCAGCGCCGCGCCGCGCCTTCGACCTACAGGCACGTCGCACCCGTGCCGCTCGCCTCCCACGTCGCGGTCCCCACTGCCCGCAGCGTTGGCCGCATGGGCGGGGGTGGTGACCGTACGCCCACCGAACGCGCCTCCACGGGCGGGGATCCTCCGCCCGGCGCAGGGAAGGCCTTACGAGCGACCACGTCCCCAGGCGGTGCAACTGACACCGGCGCTCTGATCTGGCCTCCACGTCCCCTCTCTTGCGCTTCAATCTCAGCATACACTGCGTCTTTGAGCACCGTGAGAGCTCCCTCTGCTGTTTCCTTTGCTCTTGGTTGTTTGTGCCCTTCAAGTGTTCGATGAAATGCTCAAAGGGCTCTGCTTGCTGATTTTGCATCCGTTCGGTGCCTTCAGGTCATTAGCTTATCATACTGTCCCGTACTTGATCATTCAGCTATCTATGGAATAGTTTCGTCGGGTGTAGCCGAAGGCTCCAAACGGACACCTACTCATGTAAATCAGTCACATCACACGGCGGTTGTGGCTGCCTTGGAAGGGGATGTTAGGTGCCAGCTTGCAGATCCATGCGGAGGCAGGCATTCTCCGAGCAAGCAGCCATGGCGCCCAGGCACTGCCTGGGAAGCAGAGCTAAAGCCACCAGCCAAGCCTCTCTGCGTGCTTTTTTATGAAACAGGTGAATGGTAGAAGTTAGATAATTTAATTATCCATGTAAGAACTCATCAAATCCAAACTCCTTTTGAAAAAAAAACCGAGATTCTACACATAGATAAAATGGTGTATTTAATTGTAATTTCTTAACATGAGCTCGCCACTATCTTTTCCTCCTATGTATATTGTTAACCTGTATCATCACTTTGAATACATCTCCAACTACACAATTGCAAAAACAAATATTATATGATAATTATCTCTCAAGACTCATAAGGTATAGGCTTATATTTAGAATTAATACTGTTGCTTATATATTACAAAATCTATGACATCAAGTAATTTCTATTTTGCAATACATCTTAACGAGTTATTCATTCAGAGTATGCATAATTCATATCAGATTATCAGATTTAATGGAAGATAAATTCCTCAATCTTTAGAGATTATAAGACCAACAGGGCTGCGATGCCATAGCATTGTACTCCCAGTAGTCTGAAATCAGAAGTTAAGATTTGTCCTTAGATGGAATACGCACATGTTAGGCATGCAGACTCACTAGGCGTGAAACAATTTTGTCGCGTGATGAGACTCAAATTTTAAAAAATAGAAAACCTTTCAATACGATGTTGGATAAAGATAATTTTTATATGTAATAGTTTTAATTTTTTTTATTTGAGGACAGTAAGATGCTCGAAAAAATAATATAAAATTTCAGCACCATATTTTATCGCGTGATGACACTCAAATTTCAAAAAATAGAAAACCCTTCAATACGATGTCGGATGAAGATAATTTTTATATGTAAATTGTAGACCTCGATGAGATCTACAACTTTGTAGTTTTGAGTTTTTTCATTTGAGGACGTTAAGATGCTCGAAAAAATAATATAAAATTTCTACGCTCCTGAAAATATCAAAAATTACTGTTCACTCACAAAACCGCCCAGAAGGTTGAAAGTTAAACTTTTTCGAGAGTTGGAGGGTCAAAGTTGTTCGGTTTTAAAGTTCGAGGTTGAAATCTGGACTTTGGTAAAAGTTGGAGGGTGTAAATTGGACTTTACCCTTCTATATATCATATGTATTTGGCAATTCCACAAGCAAACACTATTGATTCTGTGCAGTGAACCCTTGTTTACATTTAGTGATGATAAAGTATAGCATGTTTTGAACCGACAATTATGTGAAACTCATCAATGCTGGAAGGATAGTAGATAATAGCAAAACTCTTCCTGAGTCTTTAGTCTTAATTAGAGATATTGTCATGCCTAATGTGTTTGATCTCTGTGGGCTAAGCTTCACGGACAAACATTACCAGCTTTTGTATACTCAAAAGTCACCTTGGACTGAGATTCTGCCATCACTGTCCAGGTGATCTATTTTGCAATACAAATTTGACCTTCTGCTCCTTTAGCAACGCTACAGGCAAGAGAAACCTTCTCATAGCCTATGTTCTAAACTTCTAATAGATATTTCGTCTGCTACTGTTTTTTAAAAATATCAAATGCATATTCTGAAATGAGATTTCCCCTTCAAGTTATCTTAGTTCTTTGTGAATTGCTTAATATTTTATAGCCATCCAGAGTTTTTTGCATTAGTAATTTAGTTTTTTAATATAGAATAGCATTTCTCAAATATTATTAGAGCATGACATTTGAATATCTTCTATCAAATTAGCAAAAATATCCTACTATACCTTCATTTAGGATTCTTGCATATCAAGATTAGTTGGGCCCATACCACCAGAAATTGGAAGGTTAAATCAGTTGCAAATGAGATCATTTAAGTGACTCTTGTTCTTCTGATGTGTGATGACATTATTTAAGTGGATACATCCTTTTAGAATTTTGCGATTTGGTGGAAGTGACATTGTAAGTTCAGAAGGGCATTTCTAAATTTCATTTGATTAGTTATAGACTTTTATATCATTGTTGGTTTCAACCCCACTCCCTATGAGATAGATCTGATTAGATCTCTCCATTTTTTTTGAGGCCAGATCTCTCCAATTAGATTAATTGAAGCTGTCAGATAATTCTTCACAGTTGTACTGTACAAACAGACTAAACCTAAAAGGCCAACTTGAAAACAAGTTTTCAATTTTACAGCTTTTGTCCTTGCCCATAGAACAGTATAGAGCTTAATGACTATTTCTTGAACTTTTGTTTTTTCCTTTTTCAGGAACTTATCCAGGAATACATTGAGCGAGTTCATTCCACATTTTTTTAACTTGAGCTGTTCATTACATCTTTGTAACCGTTTCTGAGGAAATCCATGTAATTGTTATGACAAGCTATGACTCATAAAAATAAGCAATACCATCTCTGGTTCACTTGCAATTTCAATGAGTCATCGTGAGTGATCTTTCCCTATTTTATTCAAAATCATATCTGTCTTATTCATTCGATGGATACAAAGATATTCATCCATAAGCTGCTCTAATTTATCTCTTCATTCTCCAATAAGTAGCAATGCTACTTTCCCATTCCTTATATTCCAACTGAATTTGATTTTGGTAATGTAGCTTCGTTGGGAACCTTGGTTAAACATTTCTTCCATCTAAACCACTGAACTCTTCTATCTGCTGTTGCTTTAACTATATACATTGAAGAGCTGCAATGCATTTCCTTTGGAAATTCATAAGCTGCAGTACTCTACAGCTTTCGTTCAGTGTCAAGGCCAATTTGGCATTCTTTTATGTCAGATATATCAGTCAAACTCTGAGCTTCTGTTTCAACTTTGCCATGCCATAATCTCAAATTATGAACTTGCATGTGTAATCTAACATGATATAAGACCTGGAACATCTCAGGATCAACAGGTATACAAGATGTATCAGAAAGTATGTGAAGATGAAGAACCCAGGTTTCAAAATCATCTATGTTGAGCCTCCAGAAAACTCACAAGCAGGCAACTGCAGCAAAAGAAGTAACCGGAACTAGAGAAGACTATTTCTCCTTTATCAATCTATTGCCTACATAACAATGCTACTTAATTACAATCAGGATTTAAATTAGACACTTTAAAAGTACATTAACTAAGAGCATAAGAACAAAGATATACAGGTGCTGTTGTAAAAAAAAAAGATATACAGGTGCATTTGAAAAAAAAATCTAAGAGCAGAACATGATATACAGGTTTCAGTGTCCAAACAAGCCAACAAAAGGGTGGCACTTCAACGCCGCGCCCGTGTCTTTCTAGTGACGAAGTAAAGTTGGTCTGTGTTGGAGGGATAGGTTGCAAGCTGATCAACTAATTTAGTGAACTGGGACACATACTCCAAGACATACGTGAGTCGTTTGACGTTGAACAATTGCCGGATGAGGAACTCGCTGGTCACGATCGAAATGATCATTGAGGCAACACAATGATAACCAACTACAGTTTGGAAGTTGCGATTCTACTGGCTGCAACCACCTGGTGGCAGATAACCAACTATAGTTTGGAAGTTGCGATTCTACTGGCTGCAACCACCTGGTGGCAGATAACCAACTATAGTTGGTGGCAGAAATATCAAAGTGCATTTTGGCAACACGAATCCAGAGGGATTCATCAACGCCACACATATCAAAGTACTTTTAGCAACCGGAGCACCTAGCCTCGGGTTCACCGTCGGGGAAATTGAATTTGGAGAGTCAGACCCGAAGGGGTGTAAGCTCTGACGACGGGGAGTGGCGCTTGGTGTGTAACATTGGCTAGGACAACAAGTCGGGCTCGAGGTCAACCCGAACCCATTATTCCCGGGTGTTGTCGAAGTAGAGCCCGTTGGACCCATCAGCGAGGGATCCGTCAAGTGAGCGTGCAATTGCAAACACAGGCGGAACCATGACTCAGGTCATGAGACAAAGTGTCGATCACAGCGTGGTCCCAATGCTTCACGATGTTGTTGACTTCCATCTTGATGTCGCAAATGGCGTCTTCGATCTCCGGGCGCCATACGACGAAGCTGGCAGCGGCTGCCTCCAACGCCTCGACGCACACTCGTCCTTGGATCTGCTTAGGGTAGGTGTTCTCAGGATCGGATAGGCCTTGCTCCACGTGATCCTTCGAGGTTGACTGTTGATGGAAGTATGCATCACAATTGGCACGAGTGCGCTTTAGATCGACGAATCGCATCTCCCAGTTCGGTCGTGGTTGGCGAACCGATCGGCGAGCTCGTCTAGGATGAGCTTTGGTGTTGGCCTCCATGATTCTGCAAACATGCTAGAAGCAGGTGAAGTGATGATGTTTGCGAAGCGATTGGCGAGCTGGACTAGGATGAGCTTTGTGTTGGTCTACATGATTCTGCGAATGTGCTGGAAGCAAGTGAAGTGAGGATGTGGTAGACCACGATCCAGGACCATGAAGTCAGATACCAATTTGTTATTGTTGCGTGAGGAAGCGCAAGAAGGAAGCAAGCAGCTGACATGGAACAGGGAGAACGAGAAGGGACTGAGAATGATTATTTAGAGGTAGTGTATTCAGTTACAACTTTGCTGTCAACACAACACAAGGCATATATAGCAAATCCATGACGGGCCGAAGACGCAGGCGCTGGGCAGACGGGATCTCCTGGGCTTAAGCGTTGATACCCCAGCTCGTCCTGCTCAAACATTTGTTTTGAATCTCATTTATAAATTCTCACTTTACTATTGTCAATTTTGTTTATGCTACTTATTTTTCAGAAGAACCTTTTATCTAAAATACTCATTTTTACGAAACTACTGATTGTGCCATTCGCTTGTTTTGATGGATACATGCATCGTCTTCCTTATTCTACTAGTACACAGTGTTTACATACATGACCAAAAACCACCGTACACAAGCACCGCAGCTACGGCGTGGCCGCATGGGGTCTGCTTGCGTAGTAGCGCGAGAAGTTGTTCTTGACCCATAACATTACTTATATATACAGGAACGGAGGAACTTGATAAGATTGAAGCGTCGTCCTAGCCATCTTAGTCCCGCCTAGCCGCCGTGGCGCCAGCGCGCCGACCGTGCCCTCCTCCATCGCCGTGTCCTCCACCACCCTCGTTTCCGGCGGCCTTGTGACCCGCCCCATCCTGCTGCTGCTGCTGCGGCGGCGGCGCTTCAGCGACGGCGTATTGGCCTGCCACCTGCCAGAAGCCAGATCGAACCGAGCATCAGAGAAGCATAAGCATGCGGCGTCAGCAAATCAGCACGAGCTCGGAGGCAGGACACGGCATGCAAATGCAACTATACCTGGCCTGCCACGAACTCGGTGACGATGCGGCCACCGGGCACGGCGTCCTGGGTGACGTTGACCCCGTGCTTGGCAACGGCTTCACTCGCCTGGCCCGGGCCGACGGCGCCGACGGCCAGGTAGTACGCGGCGGCGGACTCCATGAAGGCCGCGGCGCTGATCACGCCGCCGCTCTCCTGCGGGACCTGGACGCCCGGCACGCTGTCCTCGGCGGAGCGCATGGCCGCGGCGTCGCGCGGCGCGATGGGTTGCCCCGCCAGCTCGCCCTTGACTGGGAAGGCGTCGCCGTATTTGATGGGCTCCGGCTGCGCCGCCGGGGCCTTGCCGCCCTGCGCCTGGAGCCCTTCGTCTCCTCTTCTTGGCTGAGGCTGCGCCATTGTTACCACTACTCTTCCAGCCTCTAGGAGTAGCTAGACGCCTATACCTGGCGATCGAGATGCCTCCTGGAGACGCGGAAATTCTTGTTGGCTCGGCTCCTGATCCACTACTCTTTCAGTACCCTTATATATGGACACTTGTTCTTATCATTCACTACTGTTGCTAGTAGATAGGAGTGGCTAGATCTTTCTACCAAGCAGGAGCTTTTCGCTAGGCACTGTATCGCGTGCAGTACGTGGAGGAGTCGGGTCACGGGTGGCTGCAATCTAGATGCGTCGGTACGTACGGGCATCCGTGGTGGCCGGATTGGCAGCCCGTTCGGTACGCTGGCTGGGCTGGCTGGTGCTGGGCTGCAGCACCAGCCAGTCCAGCTAAACGGCTGGCTTATATTCGTTGCCAATTATTCGGTGCACTCCTATCGTCCGTCTCTTTCTCTCCTTCCTCCTGTCGCTCGCGGTGGCTAGGGTTCCACGCTGACGCGCCGCTCCTCGCCTTCGCGCCGCGCTTGTCCGGGCGGTAGCCTGCGCCGCGTGCTCGGCCGCCGTCGGTGGCCCCCAGATCCGGGCTCGGCCGCCTCTTTACTCCGTCCTCCCCGGTGGGGCTGCTGGGAAAGTGTCGTCGTCCTCTTCCCCCACCCCGCCTCCATCGACGACGACTTTGGCCAGCGAGGTAACCCGGATCCCTCGCCTTCGTCTTCTCACCTTGCCGCCTCTGAGGCGCAGCTGGTCGTCTCGTAGGTTGAGCTCCGTGTGGCTAGGGTTTCCCTCACTCACTCCGGCCTTGGTGACAGTGGGCTCGGCCTTCCTCCCCGGATCCCGCCTCCATCAACGGCGAATCCTTCCACCACGGTAAGCCCCCCCACCCACCCCCCCACCCGACGCCTCGCACTTTGACCCGCCGGATCTGAGATCCAACGTGTACTCATGTCTCTTTTAGATCTATTATTACCAAACACTAAGTTTGATCTCTTCCCTTTGCTTTTTGTACCTGCTAAGTTTTCTGTGGAATGCAGTCTTAAACTCCTAATGGTTTATGTGCCTCCTTTGTCATTGTGTGCTACAACTAATGTATTCAGTCACTATCAGCATTAAATAGGATTTCATTTCATAGAAGTGCTACTTTTGTGAACAATATTCTTGCTATTTTACTATATCAGTAGGAGTTAACATAAATAAGTTTGTTCATATCATCATATGTTCATCATATTTGACACTGGACCTGATTTAATGAGTTTCTTCTATACTTGTATATTGAAGGCTAAGTATGGAGTGTTACAACTCATGCTTTTTATTGCATTCAGCATTCAGTTGGTTCATCCAAGTGGTTTGTTATTCTTGAACAATTAATAGCTCCTAGGTTACTCGGATATATATGTTCGGTGCACTTGTGTCATTTCATTCTCATGCAACTAGCTGTCGAATCATTTTGCTTGCATGGTCCAACTTTTACTAAGATTCCTGTTTGGTTTCATTGCGTTTTAGTCACTTATGACTTACAGGGCATTTCTAAGGGGTTGTAGATTACAAAATGTGCTTACCTATACCAACAATTTTACAATGTTTCAGATTAGGTTTTCAATCTTACAATTGACCTCTATGATTGAACTGCAGACTTACAAGGGACATTTCGTCCGGTTGTGATCAGCGCTGCCCAAACTGGCAGCGTCGTCGGCTTCGTCTTGCTCTCCAACTGGTGGCAAGCCCTACAACCTCCGCTCAAAAGGCCGAAAACGGCCACATAAGGCAAGTTACGGATCCTGTGCTTATTCTGCTTCCTTTGTTGTTGTCTCCTTTGTGTTCTGTATTTTCTCTGAGGGGTTGGCTGTGGTGGACAATTAGAACAGTTCCAATTCACTCCTATAATTTATTTATGGGACTAGTGTTCTAGTTATTTAGTTCTTTGGTTTCCTGTATGCTTCCTTCACATTGAGGCAACTAGTATTATCCATGATACAAGAAAGCATTATGAATCCATTAGTACATCTATTCCTGCAGATTTTGCGACTGCTGCATTACTAATAGCTTTGTCGATCCTTGAATCAGATGAGCCAGGACCGTGCTGTCTGGGATGACAGAGCAACCTCTTTGCTTCTTGACCTAATCATCCAGCAGAAAGAGCTCTGTCACTGGACCCCTGCCAACGGTCCAACCCCACTAGGGTGGACCAATATCACTCATGACTTCAACAAAGTCACGGACCTTGGGTACAACAAGAAAGTGTGCCAGAACAAGTACAACGAACTGAAACGTTGTTACTTCAACTGGCGCGACGGCCAGACCCATACTGGGCTCGACCGCGACCCGCTGACTGGAGAGGTTACAGCTGACCCTGAGTTGTACGGCGCCAGCCCCAGGGTACTAACTACATGCATTTTTTTGAATATTTTGTAGCAATTAGGTTCGTACTAACTCAATACTAACTTCGACATCACTGCAACACGTGCAGGAAAGTAGCCAACCCGCTAGAAACAAGTTCAAACGGCCCCAATGCTGTGAGCAACTGATCACAATTTTGGGACGCACCCCACGTGACAGGGGCTAGTTGGTATCGGCGGGGGGCCACCGACCCGACAAGTCACCTAGTAATGGAAGCCCTCGCACTCCTCCATCCTTATCGGACCACCAGCTCGAGCCACCTAGTACTCATCAGCCCTCGAAGAGAGTCCATAGAGAGTTTTCAGTGAACAGTCCTCGCAGCAAGAAGAGTAGCCAAACTCCATCTGTAGAAGAGTGCCTTGAAGACCTCGGCCACTTTCTCAGAGAGGCTAGGTCCCAGAAGGCCCGTCACAAAACCGATGCGTAGGAGTTGGCCCAAGTCCGAAACATTCTGCTGCAAGATGGTATTAGCGAGGCTGATGAAGTATTCGTGCAAGCCCTGAACCTTTGCAGAGATAGGCTCAGTCGCCAGGGTTTTCTAGACATGGAGTCCAAAGAGGGCCGGCTGAACTGGATCAAAGTGACGTGGGCCTTTGTGTGCTCCAATAAGTCCCACTGATTAGCACATTCCTTTTTTTTTCCTGTTTACGGATATTCACCATGTGCATGTTGAGTTCATTTGGTTTGTTGTATCCTTATGTTTGTTTTTTCGTATTACCAAAGACTATTGTTGAGAACTAAGTGCCTGTCGTTGTCTCGTTTTTTGAATAAAAAATTAGTGTACTGGTGTGAGTGTTGTAAACAAAAAAAGAGTGTTGTAACAAATTAGTGTACTGCTGTGAGTGTTTTGAATAAAAAATTAGTGTACTTTTCCCATGTACGTTCCAACCCGTTTTGAAGGTGCTACCGAGTTCAGGTATCGTCATATGTTCATTTATTTGCACTTGTGTTGTTCCTAATATCGGCATTACAATCTGTCTTATGTATGCCCAATTGCAGGTAGCAGCATGAGCAGCATGAGCAGCACTGACGAGTCCTCCTACAGCGACACATCCAGTGATGGACCGAGCAATGTGACTGTGGCAAAGGCAGCATTTGTCCTGCTGAAAGGGCTTCTGTCACAGCAAAGGCCTGAGGTAAATCCTCCTTGCCCCATTCCTAAGCTAACGGGAGCCCAGTGGATGCAGCTTACACTAGCCGAAAATACCAGATGTTTAGAGAATTTGCGCATG